GAGGACACGGTTGTTTTGAAGAGAGCGGGAATGATAGACGTTTTACTTATTTGGGATTTATGTCGGTTTGAATTATTTAGTTCGGGATTATTTTGGTAATTGGGAAATAGATTGGGGAATTAATAAGTTGGGGTAGTTAGTCGGTAATTGTGTTTTGGTATTTAAACTATTGTTTTACGTAGGTAATGGCAAGTAAGAATAAACCTAAATCCTAATTGCTCTTCTTCTCCCTCTCTTCCCTCTTTGGCCGCCGAGCCTTCCCTCTCCCTCTTTCAAGCTGCCGATCGGCAGCAGCCCTCACCCCACCTCTCTTCTCATTCCAATTCCCTAAATTCTTCTATCCTCAATTCCCCAATTCCCCGGATCAATCCCTAGTTGATCCTAATCCCCAATCTCTCGATAGAGCTTAATCCGAAGCTCTATCAGCTGTTAAGTTCGTCGATAAGCACTGATCGAAAGACGTTGATGTAATTCCAGATAAACCATCGCAAAGAACCCAACTCCTACCTGGTACAAACAAATGAATATTTGCTATTTAGTAGGGAAGATTTTCTCTTTTGCTCATTACAATAAATAAATTGATCGGCTGATCTTCTGATACCCACATTTCTTTGGAATATATAACCTTTTAATACACAATAAATAAGATACACAATCAATCACCCCGACTCTCCAACATGCTTTACCATAGTATTTAATTTTGATCACACAGTAAACCCCAATAAAAAAGGAAGAAGAGAAAACTATAACAGATCGAGCTGTGTCAATTTCATTAGAAAATTTTCAATTTATTTCCTTATATTTTGTTATTTGTTGTTGGATATGCATTTAGTTTGGGGTTTAAGTGTTTGAAAGACGAATAAATGAACTAAGGACATTAACGTAAACTTAATTTGGTTAGGGCGATAAATAAAGAATTTTAAGGCGACGAGATAGGGTTGTCAGATTCACAACCAAGGGTATTTTGGGTATGAAAAAAAGGAATATATTAATTACCTTTTTTGTATTAATTATATTGGGAATTAAAACCTCATATTAAATACAATTTTTTTTTTAAATTTAAATCCTATACATTAATATCTCTATCTATCTATCTCTCTTTCTTTCTCCAGCGGCCACTTCGCATCGACGGACAGATTTTTTCTCCGGGGAATTCTCTCCTGCAGACTCCCTCCGGCAACCTGAAAAAATGTACTAGTGCGTTAAAAAGTGTACCAATTCATTAGTCTACTGGTAATTAATATACCAGTGCTAGTGATACGCTACCAGTGCGTTAAAAAATGTACCAGTACTAGTGGTACGCTACCAGTACAACGGTACCACTACCATATTGTATCGTACCACTAGCACGGGTAGCGCTACCACTAGCATTGGTAGCGGTACCAGTAGAGAATAACACCAAAAAAAAAGATGATAGTGGTACCAGATGGTAGTGGTACGCTACCACTACTAGCTACCTTATGGTAGTGGTAGGTACCACTATCACTGGTACGCTACCAGAAGAAAAATGGTACCACTAAAAAACCAGATCTAGAAAAGGGGAGTCGGTGACGGGAGAGGGAGGTAGGGGAAGAGGGTGACCTCGCGACGGCGGCAGTGGTGGGGGACGAAGGGCCGCGAGAGGGCTCCGACGGGGAGAGGATGATTGTGCCGCGGTGGTGGGAGGCGGGCGTTGCGACGAGCCGGCGGAAGAGAAGGCTGAGGATAGCGGAGACGACGACGGTGGAAGGCTGCAGGAGACAGGGGCGCCGACGCCGGCGGTGGAGGACTGTGGCGGCGGAGGGCTCTGCGAGAGAGAGGGAGTTTTAATATCTCAAGGCATGAATATAGATTCCAGATAGTTTTTCATTTCATTCGTTGTCTAACTTAAACTTCTTATAATTAAGTATAAAATGAAATACAAATTCAATAAAATTATAAAGTTAACGAGCACTAAAAAACATAAACTATCAAAGTACTCTTTTGTACCACCAGTGCACAATACTAAAAATCGAACCACCTACGTTTAACTAAAAAAATATCCAAATGACCACAAACCGGCCAACGGGCCGGAGACAACACTAGTTCATACTATATATAGAGTGTAAATTAAATTAGGGGTCGTTTGGATGCATGATTTTAATTTGAGAGATTTAAGAGAGATTTGAGCTCCTATCTCTTGTTTTAAAACCTAGGTTTTCTACATCAGGAATTTCAATGAAATAACTTGTTTGGAAGTAACCCTAGGATTTCAATATAAGAATTGAAAATACAAAATTGTCCTCCTTCCCATCTTCCTCTTCCTCTGCCAACTTCGCTCTCCTTTCTCCACTTGACGATCGAACAGCAAAATCGACAAACCCCACCTGATTGATGGGATGTTGCGGTAAAATATCACCAAAACCCAATTGAAAAATGAAAGAATGACACAATCAGGATCAAGTTTTCGCATACTAGGAAGAATGGAAAACTTTTGGCACAAAAGAAAATCACCAACCTGCAAGATTTAGGTGGAGCCAGAGACCAATCCATAGAAGACCCGGTGACCTCGTCATCCAGCGTCCCACAGGGCTGCTGGCCTCGCTAGTCCTCATCAATCGGCATCCTCGCCATTTGCCGACATCATCTTTGAAAATGGAGGAAATAGAGGTCGATGGTGTGCGTGACCTTTGCAACATCGGCGAGATTGTGCGATTCCGAGTTTCCGACTGCTCTCGTGGACCTGGACGACGTCAAGGAGAGAGGCCGACGGCTAGATTGGGCGACATCGGGGAGAGAGCGACGACGGCAAGGTTTGACCGGCGGTGAGGATGGGTGAAGAGAACGAAGAGGGTGTGTTGTGGGTGAAGGATAAGTTTGGAATAAATAAATAAAAAATGAGGGATTTTAAAATAGCTGACCATGATCAGTTATTTTACAATCCCACATATGTAGGTTTTTAAAATCCCTAATAGTCACAATTCTTGCTTTTCCCAAATGTGTTATTTGATTAAAATCCCTCATTGTGTGGGATTGTTTTAAAATCCTCGGGATTTTTCCAGAAATAGCACTGTTTAAAAAAAAATTTCCAAAAATGGCACCCTTTTCCAAAAACCGCTCCCTACCAGTGCGGTTTAGGCGAAAACCGCCACCCAGGGGCGCGTTTTTCGATGAAAACCGCATCCCCATGGTGCGATCTGCTTTTTTTTTTTTTTTTTGAAAAATCCTAACCTAGGTGGAAACTTCAAACGGACTTATCTTTGTGTTCGGGTATCCGATCGTCGCGAATTGTTTTTTGATTCCGCATAACTTTTTGAGATCTTGCAAGCCGAAGGTGGTTTGATCCTGCCTTCGTCCTAAAAAATGTCGTTTGCGACCCCGAATGAGCTTTTTTCCGATTTCGTCAAACTTTGGACAACCATAACTTTGTGCTCCAAAATCCAAACAACATGAAATTTTTTTTTTATTTCGCATAACTTTTTAAGGACTACAATTTTTACTGGAATGAATTTTCAAAACAGGAATTATTTTTGGATATACAGGATTTGGGAATAGCTTACCTTCCCTTCTCAGCAATCCACGTGCATTTTGAAATTGTGTCTATGATAAAAGTTGTAGTCCTTAAAAAGTTATGCGAAATAAAAAAAAATTCATGTTGTTTGGATTTTGGAGCACAAAGTTATGGTTGTCCAAATTTTGACGAAATCGGAAAAAAGCTCGTTCGGGATAGCAAACGACATTTTTTGGGATGAAGGCGGGACCAAACCACCTTTGGCTTGCAAGATCTCAAAAAGTTATGCGGAATCAAAAAAAATTTTGCGACGATTGGATACCCGAACACAAAGATATCTCCGTTTGAAGTTTCCACCTAGGTTAGGATTTTTCAAAAAAAAAAAAAAAAAAAAAACAGATCGCACCTTGGGGGTGCGATCTGCAACCAAATCGCACCCTGGGGGTGCAGTCTGCAAAACCTCCCCCTGGGGGTGCGGTTTTCATCGAAAAACGCGCCCCTGGGTGGCGGTTTTCGCCTAAACCACACTGGTAGGGAGCGGTTTTTCCAGAAAGGGTGCTATTTTTGGAATTTTTCGAAGTTGGGTGCTATTTTTATAATTTTTTTTAAACAGTGCTATTTTTGGAAAAATCCCAAAATCCTCCACCACATTCCCTCATCCAAATGACCCCTTAGTGTGTTTAGCAGGACCAATTCCACTAATCATCCAATAATTGGAGTAGGTGGCCAGATCCCGCCAGGAATCTCAAGATTGCGGGTATATTTTCTGCCGCTACATCCAAAAGATTAACAATTAATATTATAAGATAGCCCTTCACTGACACTTGTGTGAAATGAACATATAATAATAAGATGAAATCTCGTTAGGTTGTTCAAGTTTCCATCAACTTACTATATCAGTGATTAACACCTACTTCACATGAAGATGCCCTGTATGGTATGGGCACTGACTAGGGCTGCACAATCGATTAGCGATTAGCGGTTAACCGATTAGTTACAATTTACAACCTAAACCAGTCGGTTATACACTAATCGATAATTGAGGTAATCGAAAATCGTTCGGTATTAAGAGGGATGGGCGAGATGCTTTTAGTTTTGGAGGCAGCTCGCGATTAACCGAAAATCAAGATAACTGAAAAGTCCAAAAAGAGGCAGTACTAGGTACGTACTCCATCACTACTGATGAGATATGGGCCGAGCTCAAGGATCTGTCATGGCTTCCCTAAGTTTCGCGCACAAGTGATGAAACAGTTACATAGGGTCGCTAGTCAGTAGCGGAATCAGGAATCCGAACACGAGCGGACTAACTTTGCGCACCGATAGTTTTAACAAGTGCATAGATTCTGCAAATCTCAAATAAAATTGTACCTCGGTATTATTGGTACTTGTTGAGTTGTGACCCACTTGAGAAAATCAGCATGCATATACGACGTTGTCATGTATCGCTTCGGCGCATATATATATATATATATATATATATAAGAAATTAACTGGAAGCTAAGGTAGATTGATTCTTTTGCAGCCAGCCAGCCACAGATACATTATTTTATATTTCATACAGTAAGTTGCATGCTGCGGGAAGCCTATTAGTTATATAAACCAACCGATGTCAATAACTCGAATGGTTAAAAACGGATCACTTAACACCACTTCTTAGCTAGCTAGCGGAGCCACCAGGTGTGGCGGGCATCATCATCGGAGCAAACGAACCGAGCAAAGTCGAACACGACCACTTCTTCTGGTCGCCCGGTCAAGGAACGGCGGCAGAGCGGGCACGTGGGATGGCGGCGGCGGGTGAAGAACGAGTAGTGCGTCCATCTGTCGAGACAAACTTGATGAAACGCGTGCTGACACGTCAGCTCCGGGACTTCGTCGCCTCCTTCGATCTTGGACAAGCACACCGCGCACTCGGCTTCCTCGCCCGCCGCACCACCGCCGCGGCGGAGGGGACTGTAGTGAGCTGACGTGGCGGCGGCGGTCGGGTCCTGAAGAAGAAGGTGGGAGGGGCAGTGGGGATGGAAGAAGGAGATATGGAGCAGAATATCCCATCCCCATTTCAAGTAACTCAGGATCAGTGTGATGCTTCCCACCACTCTCCTTGCAATTGTATCCATTTTTCTTAATTAGTACTACTCGCCGGAGAGATCGAGCTTCCGGGAAAGAGAGCTGAGCTAAGGGTGGTGAGTAGCTAGCAAGCTAGAGTAGAGTGGAGTGGGATTAGATGGAATTTTCAAGGAGTGAGGGTATATATATATAGAGAGAGAGAAAGAAAGAATATAATTATAAGTGTTTGTCTCCATTTCTTAATATGCAGAAGAGATAGAGTATTTAATGAGTAATTTGGATCCACGTACCTAAGCAATAATGCCGAGTTCTTTTAGCTATTTTAAGTTCTGGTTGAAAAGCGTTCACCGGTTACAATTAGTGCAGCAAATGAGCCGAGCCGAGTTTTACTTCAATTTGAGCTCGGCTCGTTAATAAACGAGTCGAGCTCGGTTCGTTTATTAACGAGCCGAGTTGAGTCGAGCTCGAGCTAGCTTGTTTACTAAAATCTTGACTTTTATTTGGTACTTCATTTTGCATATCATGATACATATGATTTATTTTGTTAGCTAATCTCGTATTATACTTTGTTGGTATCATATATAATTTAGTTAATAAATTTTAACTACTCAAAATCATGTTATTTCATAGTATCGAAGCAATTTATGATACATAATTTCTTTTAAAGTAGAAAATAAGATATATTTGCTCACATAATCAACGTGTTAAACTTTATATATGGTGAGATATATAATTTAACAACCATATGAATTAAAATCATAAGATATAGATTGATTGGTCCATAAGTCGGTAATCGAGTTGGCTCTCTAGCCACATGTTGAGACATATCATGAGCTCTAAACGAGTCAGCTCACGAGTTTAGCTTAACAAGCCACCGACTCGAGCTAGCTCGCGAGCTTCACGAGCTGAGCAAAGCTTAGACCATGTTCGGCTCGTTTATTAACGAGTCGAGTTTCGATCAAACTTTTCTCGAATCGAACGCCGAGCCGATCGCGAGCAGCTCGGCTCATTTGCAGCCCTAGTTACAGTATTGGTAAATTTAATTTGGTAGACCAAACACAATCTCGTTAATCGCAATTACGGGGGAAATTTCTCGTTAATGACAGGCAACGAATATAGCCCATAACCTCATTAATGACAGGCAATTACGGGGGAAAATTCTCGTTAATGCATAACCTAAAACTTATCATTTATGAGAAAATTAGCCGGCTATATCTCTTTTGTTTTAAGTTTTAATTTCAACTTAAGTTGACATTCACTTTGATATATTTTTGAACAAAAAGATTTATGACATTTATTATCAGTCCATATCATGTGGTAATGCTTGGTATGGAATTGTATCGTGGTGGTATGAACATTAGCAGAGTGCATAATGGTTGCATACATTAATAGTAGCAATATACTAACCCTAATTTACCACCTTTCATCCCCGTATACTACCAGTTATTGACAAGGTTCAAGAAAGCGCTAAACGTAAGGCGAGCTTTGAAACATTGCCTAGCGCCTAGCTCGCCTATAGGCGTAGATTGGAAGAAAATAGCTATTCGCACTGCATGACGAATGAAATAATAATCTACATCACTTCCTCACTTCATTTAAAATGATAATAACTTACTCAAAACTTAATGACAAGAACATAGCTCACAATTCATAGAATCGTAGCTCAATAGCTCACAAAGTTCTTGAGCTATTGAAAATATTGATATAGAAAATTTATTTCGTAGTTGAGTTAATTTTATCCTTTAATATTGACTTTCTAGCTTGATATGATCCCATTTGGCTCAATCTACAAGCCAGAATGGATTGAATCAAAATCCATCTCAAGGTATGAAATGAAACCCAAATTTTGCCCAAGTGTTTTACCCGTTTCAGGTACCTTACTTGGCACTCAAGTTTCTTCCAATTGGATCAATGGAAATAAGCAAATGAAGTCTTGTTTTGAAGCTGGTGAGTTTCTCTACAAGATAGAGTATTTTGGAGCTCAAGAACAAGGCAGGAGGGTCATGGTTAAAGCATCTCAAAATGCTATGTCGAAACTGGAATTCTGCCAAAAATTGGCTAAGTGTCAGAACCAGTTTGAGAACCCTACTTTGGAGGAGTATTCGAAGCACATGGGGGAGAGTCGAGGCTGGATCTTTGTGCAGCATGAAAGTAGGTTTCTTCTACTACAATGACATGACGTTGGATGACTGGAATGAAGAGGCCTCGAACGAAAGCTCCAAAGATAGTATCAAAGCTGAGTTTCTGTCTTTGGAAACCAGGCAATCCGAATCCTTATCGGATTAGGATTCCTTTGTTGTTTTGTGTTTAATTCCTTTCCATTGTTGGTTTTGGTTTCCTTTTCCAATTGTAATTTTTTTTTAGGACATCTCTAAGAGTAGTAGGATTGGCTAGGTCTATTTAAGTAGCTTTGATTCATTGTAATTTTCAGATTTCATAGAACTGAATACAAACTTGAGTTTGTTTCACAAAGCTTGTTGCTTTCGTGAGTTTGAGAGTTGTTTAGAAGGAGTTCTAAGCAGCTTGAGTGCTTGTATCATTCAGCTAATCACGCTGTTCGTGGCCGAGCTTCTACCTATAGTTTACGAGCCTTTCTCCCTTCGTGAGAATTGCACGAAACTTCCACCAACACACATCCAAATCATACCCTGTTTGTGGAGTTCTTGCTCGAGGGAACTCTTGGATTCCTTAGTTTTGCTATTCTGATCAATAAACCTCATCTAGGGGGTTCATCAAGTGGTATCAAGAGCCTGGTTTTACACAGTGGACAAAACGAAGCAAGGTGTGGTCACAACGACGCCCTAGACAAGGTCAAAAGGACTTGTCTCGGAAGACCCTACTTTTGTGTTTCCAGAATCAACGAAGAAGAAGGAGCGAATAGAGATGATGGGACAGACGTTTGACATGAAGGAATTGTTGGATCGTATAGAGGATATGGTTCAGGCTCAAATTCGAGATCAATTAGGTCAATTTAAATAAGAAATTGACCGTCAATTTGAGACTATTGCTCGGTAGGAGAATTGGGTTCGAACAGAGGAAGCTCCCGGCGGAGAAAACGCAGCTGGCAATCCAGCATTGTTGGATAGAATCGCGGAGCTTGAACGGCGACTCGTCATTGTTGATCCCAATCAAGAACGTCCACATCGTGATCGTCGCGAACGACAACAAGAAGCAGAACCGCAATCCCTCCGGGCATCAAGCTATCAGTACCACCGTTTTAGGGGACAATGAATCCCTCGACATATCTCGACTGGGAAAGGAAGATTGTGCTTTTCTTCCAATGTGGACATTTTACTGAAGGCCAGAAAGTAGGTATGGCTACTTATGAATTCTTGGATTACGCTGCCAATGGTGGGAGCAGCTGCAGCTTTGCCGGCGACGACATAATCAAAATCCGGTCGCGACCTGGGACGAGCTACGTGGAATTATGCGAGACAGGTTCGTACCTGCCTATTACCATCGCGAACTCTATGAATCTCTGCAGGGGATTAAACAAGGGTCAAGGAGTGTGGAGGAGTACTTCCGAGAACTTGAATTGCTGATGATGCGGGCCGATGTCAGGGAAGATCGAGAAGCGACGGTGGCGCTATTTCTTCATGGTTTGAACTGCGAGATTCGACAGGAAGTGGATCTTCGATCTTTTGTCGACCTGGAAGCCCTTCACCTCGCAATTAAGGTTGAAAAGTAGCAGAGATCTTTGAGGAAGTTCACGCCGGCAAACAAGGCGGCCGCAGAGTCAAGTTCCGACTCTGAGTCCCAGCAGACACGACCTGAACCTAGCAAATTGGTGCCCAAGAATACAAATACAGTACTTGCTGAGCGCTCTGGAGGCATCCAATGCTATAAATGCCATGGTAGAGGGCAAAAAGCAAGTCAATGTCCCAATCTGAAGACGTTAATCATCAGGGATAGCCAATATCTCACCGACGACGAACAAAATTCAGATGACAGTGACGTCGACGAGAAGCTTGAAGCATAACCTGCCCCCAGGAAAGCTCATGAACGTTAGTCAACGAGTTCTAACCATGGATGTTCAGTCTGATACCAGTTAAAGAGAGAATTTGTTTCATTCTCGATGTTTGGTCGCCGGAAAGGTTTTGTCCGTGATCGTGGACGGAGGCAGTTGTGCCAACGTCGTTAGTCAAGAGGCAGTGGACAAGCTAGGGCTGCAGACGACGAGACACCCCGATCCATACAGCTTGCACGGGCTTAACGACTATGGTGCCGTTTGTGTAGCAAAGCAAGCTAGGATCAGCTTCGAGATCGCAGCGTACCAGGACGAGATTGAATTTGATGTCGCGCCAATGCAAGCTACTCACTTACTTCTCGGAAGGCCATGGCAGTTCGATCGCGGTGTTTGCCACTATGGAGACACGAATTGCTACAAAGTTCGTCACAATGGGAAGACTATTCTTGTAAAGCCACTGTCACCGGAGGAGGTTCGAGCAGATCGGCGACAACTTGGAGCTAGCCGTCGACGAACCAAGGGGAAGCAAGACGAGGGATCCAGTTCGTCCACTATCTTCACTCAGCGTTTTATGCTTACTTGGTATAAACGACCAAGAGCACCGCGACAACGTCGCCTTGACAAGCCTTCACCGGAACAGAGCAGAAGTGAGGGAGAATTGGGGGGAGCTCCTCGGGAAGATTCAACACCAGGGGAAGACGTCAGCACGTTCCATGGAGTTCAGGGAAGCTCTACCATAGAATGGATTAGACTGAATCAACCCAGACCCCCCGAATCCAATTAAAGTAGAATCTGCTATGAAATTTACCAACTTCGAGCAAAAATTGAGTTATGGGTTGAACCGATTGGTGATGATTTGACTAGATTGGTGACTGCAGAATCATTCAAGGCAACCCCATGAAACTCTCAGCTTATTCAATTCGACCTTGAGAGCTCTACATAAAAAACGCCCAAATTACGATTGAAGTTCCTGGGTTTGGAGAATTTGAACTACGGCCATGGCGGGAAAGAAAATGACAACGATTCGGTGATACAGACGATGAATCAAGGCACGAGGACCACTCAGGACTTCAATTTGATCCAAGACGAAGCCATTGGTGACCTTGGATTGCCCAGTGGATGTCTGAATCAAAAAGCCCCAATCTCCTCTTCAACGAACACTGCCTGGGTTCTTCAGAACAT